TTTCCGGATCACCCTGCAAGGCCCCCACAAGCAGCCAAATTGACCGGAAGAGGAGGCGAGGCATCCGATAGGGCGGCCGCAGAGCGAAAATAGGGGTCGAGCCCGTAGCCTTTTATGGGGATATAATTCTATTGTCGTGAAGGGCCCCCATTTAATTACCATCTGGCCCTCAACCGGTGGTGTTCAAACCCCGAAGCCACGTGATACTGAAAAAACAAACCTTAAACCCGCAACCCTGGAGCACGGAAGCTTGAGCCCTACAGTATACAAATTTTTGAAGCAAACCCTAACACACCCAAACCGCCAAATACCCACACCCCAAACACCAAACCCGCAACAGAAACCCAAGCGCTAAATCCCAAAGCCTGCAAGCCCTAAACCCAGCCTCACACCCCTAAATCACTGCAACCCGAGCCCGTATGACGTATCAAGCCGAAAGAAAGCCCAAGCCAGAACCCCTTCTACCCAAAACCCAAGGAGACACACCCTAAATTAGCCTTCAAATCTTAGCACCCCCCCAAAACACGAAAGCTCCAACTGCCATCTCGCAGTCGATGATTTTTGTTGAAGGCGAAGACCAACTGCATCAAGGGAAACCAACTGGAAAGCCGACGCCTTCCGAATTGGATGTGTTAAGCTTGAACTTGGACTGGTGATCTGGAACAAAGGCCAACTTTGTCGGATTGGAAAACCACCACGTCCGGGTGAACATGCTGGCTGTCCAGGGCATGCTGTGCAGGCTGCCTGTGGCACCCGCAGCAGTCGCCCCAAGTGTTTAGAAGACCATACTGACCGCCGCCAATACAACCTCATCAAAGAATGCCGCGGAGGAGCGCGCGTTGTCCCCCTGCAAAAACCGCTCCAGTCGATGCAGCACGAGATCCTGAAGGCCCGCATTGAAACCCGCCGTGTCCTCAATCTTGCTGAGGACACGCTCCTGGTCGACAGCTGCGCAGTCGTCTTCAATACTAAACTCAACCAGACAGGGAACACTACGCAGATCTGGACATGTGTTTGTCTTCATCTTGCTGGCGGCCATGATCTTTTGCTTCGTCGCTAGTCACATCATCATCATCATCACCATCATCACCATCATCATCACCAGAGCCACCGCCCTGGACTCGTTCCTCCCACCACCATATGTTCATCATCATTATGACTATCACGACCTTCCCGATGATCACCATCATCAATTCCTACACAACAACATCATCACCATCATCATTAGCAGCATCGTAATCTCCATGATCGTCGTCAGCATCACCAGCATCATCACCATCGCCATTTTCTGCAACAGCTGCAGCTGCAGCAGCTGCATCATCATCATCATCATCATTATCCTCATCGTCGTCATCCTCATCATGCGTCACCTTGTACTTCATCTTAGCCATCGTCAATGGCAGCAGCAGCGGCAGCTGCAGCAGGAGCAGGGCCTTCCGGCAATGGCAGTACCAGTCGTAGTAGCCATGCTGCCCACAAACTACACTTCAAGTACACATGCTCAAAATTGCTCTTACCAGGTTGAGCTAGATTTGGCAACAAGACAACATATGCAGCAAGGCCAAAACTCTGTGCCAGCACGGCCTTGTCTGCGGCAAAAGATGCCTCGGCGCTGTTCACGTCGAGATGCACCAGCATGTCCACACACTTGTCCCGAGCCGCGGCCGAGTGAATTTTCACAGCCTTCCAAGTTGTGGCTTTGCGGGGGCAAAAACTGGTCCTCATGTAGTAGCAGTAAGTAGCAGTAGTTGACCAAAATCCCTAGAGGCCCCAGTGGCTTACCGGCCGGCGCCAGCCTGCGGAAGGTGCAGCGCATGGGCTTCCATCAACTCTGCGAGGCACCACACCTCAGTGGATGCGGAGAAGCAAAACTGGGGGTTCATGTAGGCGTTGTCAAAGTGCCAGTGGGCCAAGATCTAGCTGCGCAGGATTGGTCCGGTGATGTGGCAGGCAGCATATCTTACCTTTCTCTTGTGCCGGAAGAAAGTTTTGGCTTCAGGTGCCCGTGTCTCTAGCCAAGACACTCTCTGAAATAACGAGAAGTCCGACTCACAGGCGATCACCTGCTGGAGACGGACCTGGCAAGTATCTGAAACAGGAGACTGAGAATCAATGAAGATCGCTTCGATAGGAATTTGAGCCGGCAGCCTCGCCCTGCTTGCGTAAGGACCCCTTCAGGTAGGCCATCATGTCATCGAACTTGTTCATCTCCTTCTGTCCATGCTACAATAAGCACGCACTGCTACCGGCAACTTGGCCTCCAGACTCATCACAAGGGATCATCAAGGCAAGGCACGACATGGCAGTGCTGGAGCCCGCAGAGTGCAGCCGAGCTGCGCTGAGGTCGCCGTCGAAGTGCTTCGGCGTCGAACAGTGGCAGGGTGCGATAGCATGGCCGGTAGAATCGGTTGGCGGAGGGCTTCCACAAATTCCGGCATGCTGGTTCACCGAGAAGGCACAGATCCAATAGCGGACATCCAGCTTCCCAGAGGCTACTAGCAGCTTGGCATTCAAGGTGCCAAACTCGCGCTGCGTGAGAAGGTCTGCAATCTCATCATACTTCTCCACGTCCAAGGCATCGGCCAGGACGGCGGCAATGAGGTGCGTAAACTTGTAGGGATTCACTTACGTCTTTATGCTTCCATCTCAAGACAATCTGCACTCTTACAGCCTTACAGCCTTGCAGGATTCCGCTGAACCTTTTAACCTTCCCTGTCGTCCCTGTTCGCGCCTTGTTGCGCCAGGAGTGCGTGACCATCCTCTGGGCCAGAGAGGCGGGGGCCCTGTGGTTCACGACGTCCGCAAAGGCGAAGCCACGGGTTTTCGGAAGGTCGGCCTCGGCCTCGTGACCCTCACTAGTCAGCACCCCGCGTGAGGCCCGGGGGACGAATGTACGGTGCATCTGGGCTCCGAGATCCAAAACCTGCTCGTCAGTGTTGGAGAGGTCATCGCCTGAGGCGCGGCGAGGCTTTCTGGGCTACAGAGCCTGTGGAAAACTCGGGGGAGCTTGAGCCCGACACGGTTCTTCTCGCAGAGCTGTCTTACTCTGTCTTCAAACGACAACATGGGGTCCGAAAAGGTCGCAAAAACAACCAAGAAATTGCATCGAATCAATGCTTATGCGGGTGCGCCTCCATCTTCTCCAAGAAGTGCGGCCTATTGGGGCGGGGTGAATCGAGAGGACGCAGACCCAAGGGCGGAGAGCTTCGAGAGAGCACTGCGCAGATTTCACCTACGAGCCTCCGATGCAGCCCAGATAGAGCCCACCCTTGCGATCCCTTGCGACTTTGACATCCCTTCGGTTGGCCTCCTGCAGGCGTGCAAAGATGGTTCGGGCTTGTGCTCGTGTCGCGTGGGAGGCGATGGAAACCTCAATCACGAAATCATCATGATTACCAGACGGGCCCTAGCAAATTCTTAACAACAACAGCCATCATTCAGGATAGCAATGAGACGGGGCAGAAGAACAAGAACAAGACCAACAAGGGCTGAAGCATCTGCTGCGATTCTCAAAGCAGCTTCTGAGCTAGGTGGACACCACCGACCCAAAGTCTGTTCCGTGGCAGAAAGCGACTCATACCTTCAAGAGGCCAGGAAACCTGCAGTTTGCTCTTTTCGGTGGTTCCCACCAGGAGCTCGCCGCTCATGCCACCCCGCATGCTCGACACCTGGGTCTTGGGTCTCGGCCAAGGGAGCACGGGTTTGTGCTGACTCGCCTGTTCCAGCCCAACTTCCTCTCGACTCCCCATGGTTACTTTACGGAATCTGAAGATTGTTTGCTGCTTTGCGCGGGTGGGCTTGAGGTTCAGGAAACTGTGCCCGGCACCGGCAGCACGACCTTTCCAAGGCAATCATCACTATTGTGGTCCCGGATGGAGAAATGAAGACTTTCATCGTCAAGGACGTCCTCTGGTTGTGGGTTCTAGCCGTAGCAGCCCTATGCGCTAGCGACCGGCAGAGGATGGCATTCAACAGCCATGCACGGTAACTAGATACACTGCAGGGGCTCAAAGGAAAGTGAACAATGTGCACACTACTCTTGTGACATGCACAAAGAATCCTCCACCAGGAATGCTTCCTCCCAAACGGGATTTCGTGTGCTTTCGATGCAAGATGTCCGGCCACCACCCTTCCAAGGCTTTGACCCAGCTCCACTTTGCACCACGACCACGCAGTAAGGAGCAGAACGACCCATGACCTCATCCCGCTTTGCCAGGCCCGTCGCCCGGTGGACCCGGATGGTGTAGAAGTGCACATCTCGAAGATCCAACGAGTTCGGGATGATGAACTGCCGCACAACCTCGGCTGCATCATCCAAATGACAACACCTACTGACCTAGCTACCTGACAGCTTTCCTCTATCTGATAGACAAGGAGCATCATGTGTGGTGGACTTCTTCGGATCGAAATGGCCCATCAGATTATGTCCCAGTTCTGCATAGAAATCCAGAAGCTGCCGCAACGAGATGCCGCGACCAGCCAGCTCATGTACCTTTTCAACCCAGGCTGGCCCAGTGTCTTGAGAAACAGGAGATTCTGAGTCCTCTCCCAATTTCGCAAGCTGCAAATCAAGCCCGAACTTTTTGGGTGGTGCAGCAACACCCCCAGGTTGTCTGCAGTCTGCAAGTTGCGTGCCCAGGCTTGAGAACACACAGGCCAGCAGCGGCACAAGCAGCAGCTTTCGTGCAAGCACGATTGTAAAGGCAAACATCCACTTCCACTCCTCAGTCTCCACCAGATCCGAAAGAAATGCCATGATGACAAGCAAGTGGAAAGTCGAGAGGCAGATGCTGAAAAGCCAGAATACAGCGTCCTTGCAGCGAGTTCGGGTTAGGTGCTGGCGTGGGGAGAGGCTCGTCCGCACAAAACCGCGCTGAGCGAGGCAAGTCTGTAAACTCCGCGGTAGGAAGTTGAGGAGCACCGAGAAGGTCGCAACGAAAAGGTACCAGATGAGGCTCCCCTGCTCCAATGGGCACTCTGCCGGGCTTCGGGCAGACAATGCCGACCCATCTACTGAAAAGAAGAGGGCAGCAAAGCACAAAGATCCCATCACACAGTCCATGCAGATTTTGGCTCGCTTTGCGGCCGTCATGTGCAGGTCGAACATGCACAGCTCGTACACCGGATGTGAAGCCAGGATTGTAGCACGAAGCCGATGGAGGTGTGAAGTATGGACGAGCAAGTAAGCACTTGGCAGCCTCTCTTCCAACTCGATAGCTACTTGCCTGAGCTTTGGAGATCGTTGCAAGGCCAGGCTTCCCTGTACCCATCCATGTCGACCCCATATGTGGCTTTCGATGGAGGTGACGTGAAGCGCAAGTGAACGGCCCACCTCACAGAGTGTGTTGCGACAGATGGCATGTTCCTGCAAGCTGGACGCCCAAGTTGGCCGCAGCCTCTTCATGATGTCACGCTGTTGCTGCCACATGAGGGACTGCGCGCTCATCGGCGAAGCTCGGAGTGTGGGAGCCGTATCCGGCTCGCTACCGGTGGGTACCGCAGCCTTAGAGAACATGCATGCCATCACGTATGGCCGCAGTACTACTCAGTAGCATCTGCTCTCCTCACTGACCTGAAATCGTCTCCAGCTTCAGAAGCTCCTGTGCATCCCAAGCCTCAAGCCATCCAAGAATGGACATGCAAAGCTGATAGCTGTGCTCCAAGGGGCCTTTGCCTTTCCCCCAGCGCCCGTGCGAAGACAGCGAAGGCAGGGGAGCGAAGAGCAAAGCGAGCAGGAAGCAAAGCAGGAGGAAGGCTTTGCACCGGGCAGGTCCACGAGGAAGAAGTCCTCCCGCCAGAGTTCCGCTTGCCGGACCTGGAGGTCCCTGTGATAGCCAAAGAGGATCAAAAGCAGTGAGGCCGCCAAAACCAGCCAAAGGGACACCGCGGGCACTCGACTCCACCAGTCGCCTCGCTCCTGGCACAAAGTCGCAAACAAACGCAACAACAATCATCGGTTATCATAGAAGCAGACATGCAGGAAGGCCCATGATTGAGCAAGGGAAGACGGGACAATACCGCTGTCGGACACACAAAGTGCTGCAGCAAGACGAGTGACCATTGCAACTTCAAAAACTTTCAGCCCGTCGCTCCAGGATCTGTTGGAGCCCAGTCGGTGTCAGCAAGCTGGCAGACCTAGGTGCAAGGAGGCTTCCACTAGACGGCCCCGCAAATCAGAGATAAGCCAGGTCACGTGCAGTCCAGTAGAATGTCGACGAAAACCGCGAAAATGGAGAGGTGAAGCGTGGCACACCAGACGCCGGAAGTGTCTGCGAGAGCCCCAAAAGCCGCTTCCAGCTCCGCTGGCGCTGCTAAGCGCACGCCTTCAGTGGACCAGCCATCATCCCCCAGGTAAGCCTGCTCGGGACACTCAAGAAAGTCTCATCCCTTGTGCAACTGCAGATACTCTACCAGTTCAGATCCAGGCCACGCAGATCCAGTTCGGCTCGGGCGAAACGGTTGCGATGCGCACGTACATGGGGCGATCGAGGCTCACTTCGATGGGGCGGAGCGTGTCCAGATCCATGAGCGTGACATCCACGGCCGGCACAGCAACCTCGATTGGCCGGCGAGTCAAGGTCTGAGACCTCTGCCCGGCAGGAAGGACCTCGTCGAAGCTCGTCAAGACAAGCAGGGCATCACTCGTCAAAACCTGCAGAGTAGGCAGGGGCCCTAAAGTTCGCCTAAAGGGCGGAAAAAGGAAAAGTTTCCAGGATGACAGGATGTCCCAGGCCTCTGCAGGCAAAACAGCCGCAGCCGCGCTTTCATTCAGGACGGTCACGGCCATGCTCGAGCTTGGAGTCAGCCTAGGGAGTCGCCCAAAGAGGCTCAGGAGTCTCAGGAGCCCAAGACTTCAGGCACTGGCTGGGGCCGCAGCTTTACCGCGGTCAACTTTCCGAAGTCGGTCGTCGCTGACACAGTGGCATTCTCCAAGTCCGTCACCGTACCTAGACAATCAACTCTCACAGTTGTAGAGAAGCGACCCTGCAAAGCAGTCCAAACCCTGCAACCGGCTTGTGTCTCAAGATGTCGGAGCGACGTAGCAGGACATTGGTGCTGCGCTGCAGCTCGTCGAAAAGCTCGTCACTGAAGCTTGTGAAGCGCGTTTTCGAGCTCGTCGTTGTTGTACGGGTTAGGGTGTCCGATGAAGTGCCAGTCGACGTCGCTATTGTCGAAGTGCTACTCGAAGTTGACGAAGACGCAGATGTCGACATCGATGTCGAAGTCGTAGACAAAGACTTCGACGTAGGTTCGGTCTGTGTCGAAGTTGAAGATGTCGATGCTGTCGATGATGATCTAGTCCGTGTTGCTGCTGTGCTTGTGATGGATGCTGTGGTCGAAAATGACAAGGTTGATGATGTTGATGTCGAACTTGTCAGCGTTGTTGTTGTTGTGCTTGTGATTGTGGAGGATGTTGTCGCCGCTGATGATGTTGATGACGATGTTGATGACGACGTTGATGACGATGATGATGACGACGATGATGACGATGATGATGACGATGATGATGATGATGGTGATGATGACGACGTCGATTCAGTCTGCGTTGTGGTCGTGCCTGTGATTGTGGAGGATTTTGTTGTCGAGGTTGAAGACGTTGATGATGATGTGACCGTGGATGTAGTTGTCTGTGTTGCTGAAGTCGTTGTTGACATTGTCGTTGTCGACATTGTCGTTGTCGCGGTCGTAGATGTTGACGACGACGAGGAGGTGGTAACGGTGGTGCTGGTGCCAGAAGATGTCGTCGAAGTAGCTGTGGTTGCGGTCGAGGTTGCGCTAGTGGTAGTGGTGGTAGTTGTCTGGTGCAGAGATACACCGTTGGCGTGACGTTTGACTATGAGGAACTGGAATATGTGGGACAGCTTCTCTAGCTTGCCGGGGCGATGCATCACTTCATAATTCAATCCTTCGGCAAAACACGTAACTTCAAATTCCAAAATCAAAAGCCATCGAATTTCACCCCACACGCCTTGGTTAGGCACAGCCCATCCTGCACACTGACACAGATCCAGCCCAGCCTCGATGTTGACGAACCACGAGTCTGCCAATCGACCACTGTCGCCTGGTCAAGGAGGCTGAGCGCCCGTGAGCCAATTGGGGTTTAGGGTTTAGGGTTTAGGGTTTAGGACTGCGACAGAACGACTACTTCTGCCGCTGAGTCCAGGCCTTGACCAGCGAAGATATACATGTGACCGGCCGGAGTCAGAAAGGCGTAGGGATAAGCGCGGCCGGATGGAGCTGTACCCATGGACACCTCCATCCACGAGGGGCTGCCGGCCTGAAGCGTGGGAGGTTTCAAAGTTTAACGGGCATGGATGCAGCTTTTTGGGGCCGAAGCTTGGCTGCCCTTACCCCATCGGCCAGAGGCTCCCGCTGGAGCGAAGTTGAAAGAGAAGAGCATTTGGGCGCATAAGGCGCCGCGCCAAAAAAGAACCCGGCTTGAAATTCCTCCGTCCCTTCTTTCACATTTCCCACATCTACTCCCTGACGTGTAGAAGGGTGGTGGCACTCTGCAGACGACCTCTCATCACAAGATGCAGTCTGTGTAGGACTAGACCCAGGCATGCGGGCCATTCGGCTCCTGTTGCCCTAAACCAACCCCTGACCGGAGTGTGCAAACACTCCCTGAATATCAGCCAGAACTCCTACAAGCTAAACTCCAGAACCAATAGCAAAGCAGCCGTGTCCCTGCCTCCGTGTCCACATACCACAAATCGTTCAGGTGACCTTTGCAGCCGGCTGAACAGTGCAGGCCTCTGATGTGCATCCTCCCTCCTTCCACGACCTCAATTTATGGATCCCACCATCATCCTCATGAACGAACGGGGATTTCTTTCTATCAGGGGTCTACGTTACTGTGTTCTGACGGCGTAGACGATGGTCAGGTCAAGGACGAGACCCAGACAAGCTGGGCTGCGGTCCAGTGGGAGCTAAGACACCTACCGTAAGATTCCTTGAAGGGATCACGGAGGATACCGCAATGCAATGACGCAATGTCCCATTGTGCCAGACAACCTGGGATTCTATCGGCCCAGTGCTCAAAATGTGGCATGCTCATACCATCCTTGGCCCTTCCGGCTCTGGCTCGGGTTCGCCCTTCGCATGAAACACAAACCGTCTTCAGGGCGAGGCCGTAGCTGGGAAGCTGGAGGGCCCCCCTGCACTCGGCTCGACACTGGGGCCATGGACCAGTTCCGGGACTGTATCCGCCGAAGATCCACCTTGGAACAAGGCCAGGGTTCAGCTCTTCAGCCAGGCTCTTCTCGCTTGTGAGTCCGAGTCACATCTTCCCGGTGGGGCTGAGAACCGCCGCAGGACCGTCTCGAACACTCGGAGGGCTGCCAAGTACCGCAACTTCATGCCACTCAAGCGACAGAGCCTGGCGAAGGTTCTGCGGCATCTGACAAGACCAGCAGCCAGCTCCCTGCCTCTAGGTCGATAAACCAAAGGTCGTTGTAATGACCTTGGAAGATGCTAAGGCCCACGCTGCAAATGTGACCATCCGGATATTTCTATTCTGTTTCCATCTGAAAACCTTCGGAAATACCAATAAAAATGAGATGCTGAGCATGTACGGCAGAGCCCTCCTTCGGGATCTCCGATTCTTTGTGAGAACCCGTGCGAATACCACAGAGGACGTGTGTCCTGCTCTATTTTCATGTCATTTCCTGAAAAACACCGAAAAAAAGTACGAACATGCCATTTCATGAACACCATGTGATGAATTTGCATCGAAATCCGGAAAAAAAAAACGTGTGTTTGTTTTGATTTTCAGGCCCGCGGAGGGCAAAAGCCAAAAAACACATGGTGTTCGTTGGATTTTTCCAAGAAAAACAAAAACATTGGGAAAAACAAAAATTCCAAAAAAAATGGGATCCCGGCCTAATGCTTTTAGGTTTTGTTTTGTTTTGATTGTTTTGGGCAAAATTTGCAAAACATGCCTTTTTTGCATGAAATGATGCGCTTAGAAGCTGTTCCTGGGCAAATCTAGCTTTCTGGGCACAATTCGTGTCTTCTCTTCAAATTGTGACTTTCCAAGCTGTTCATGAGCCAATTCATCTTCTCTGTGTATAGCTGTATTTAGCAAATGTCATCTTATAAGTAGAAATTAACATCTTGTTTTGATGTATCTTTATCATATTCCCTCGTTTTGTCTAGCAATACTTAATTTAGATTCGAACTGTTCTTTATTTCGCGTGTAGTGTTAACATGTAAAGTTCTAATCAGATTGAAGTACCAATGAGGCTTAGAAGGGGATGTCTTGGGTGTGGCCTCTTGATTAGATTTCATAGGGTGTTCGGGAATATGAAATTCCAAATAGGTAATAGCGAATGCGGTTTAGAAGAGGATGTTTTGGGGGTTTTACTTCGGGAAATTATCAACCAAGCTGTGGCTTTATCATACAGAAGTGTATTGACATTTCATGAAGAGGCATCAGAAGAGGATTTCATAGGGTGTGGCCGCTAAATATGGAATTCTAAGTTTTGATTTGACTACGAATGACGACTCAGCAGATGAGATCTTAGGGTGTGGCCTCTATGAAATTCTGTTCAATGGTTACCTACGAACAAAGCCTAGATGAGAACTTCTTATGAGGTGTGGGCTTCGTATCTAAAATCAAATTTCCATAAATCACGAAGGAAGCCCGGATGAAGTTCTAATTCAAGCATCTAGGCAAACCTAAATTAAGTCTGATTGCAAACGGAGCCCAGATGAGGATTTCTTAGGGTATGGCTTGATAATACAGAATTCCAACTAAGCTTCAGTACGAATAGGGGGCCAGAAGGGGATTTCAGAGAGTGTGGTCTGCAATATAAAATTCTGACTCGGTCTAATGACGAATGATGCTTGAAAGAGGATGTCTTGGGGTTGGCCTCTTAATTTTGCCTGGGTGTAATTACGAACGAAGCCCAGATGAGGATTTCTCAGGGTGTGTGTTCGGGAATATGAAAATTGCAATTAGGTAATAACGAATGAGGCTTCGAAGTGGATGTCTTTGGGGCGTGCCCTCTTCATGTATTTGCTTTACTTGGGTCTCAGAGGAGATCTCCAAGGGTGTGGCTTCTTCATATGGTTTCCGAGTTAGGTTTAAACATCATTTTGCTGTGCCCGAACAATCTACGGAAGGCTTTCCGACTAGATTTTGCGAGGTGGGGGGGTTGAGCATATACAGATATGTAGATATATGTTATATATACATATATGTTTCTATGTATATATATATATACTCATCTATTTACTTATTTATCTATTCTCAGTTTTCAGGCATGTGCAGGATCTTCAGGCAGCTGCGTGAAAATTGCTCTCAGTTTCCAAAGCCAAGGCCAGGGCCCGCCCCAGACGCCCCGCCAAAAACAAACCTCTGCTGCGCTGCGGGTTTAGGGTTTAGATGGGTGATGGGTTTAGGGTTTAGGGTTTAGGGTTTAGGGCATTCATCGTTCCGCGGATCCTTGTCTCTTTAAAACACAACGAGCGGCATGCGCCCGGACGGGTTGATCACTGCAGTGTGGCCGCCACGAACCGCAGGGAGCGTGCCGGAGACCGTAGCCTCCGTCCAAGAAGGGGACGCCTGGAGAAGCTTCCGATGGCTTTTAGGGGGTTCAGCCGTGCTGTACTTGCCACGATACACCTGCCTCCATGGTGTTGATGTGCCACAAGTCGTTCTCGCTGTAGCCTGGGACAGCGCCAGTTCCCGAATGTTAGGTAATGGCGAAAAAGCACGTGCGGCTGAGTTCCGGACTTATTGCAAATCCAGCGAAGACCCACATCTCGCCCGAGGGGCGCAGCACAGCACTGTGGCGATCGCGACCCCTCGGACTGGAGCCGGTGGTCACTGCACTCCACGCCGGAGTGGAGGCCTGAACGTGACATCTGATGACAGACTGTAGGATCTTGTCGCGTCTCAAGTCAAGGGAACTGTAAGATTGAGGTGCTTTTTGCGATGCTTCCGGAAGTTCTCGGCCTCCAAGTCGATCCTCCAGACGTCATCCCACCAGCCTGAGAGAAAGGAACCGAGTTCAGACGAGCCGCGACGCGACAACCTCAGAACATCTCAGATCCCGGCCCTGGTAGGTGCTGTTCTCGTACACTCCGGCGAAGACCCACATGACGCCAGCAGCGTTGATCACCGCACTGTGACCCCGTCGTGCTGTGACGCCTGAGGCTGGGACCTCGATCCATGTCGGTGTGTCTGCCTGCCCAGAACACCGGTCAACTTGAAGCTTGACTCAGCTTGAATCAAGTTGCAAAGTTGACTGGGTTAAATACCTCAACGGTCTGGATGGCCGTCGTTGGGGACATGGGCAATCGGAGGAATGTACATCTCTCAAATGCAGGTTTTTTAATTACTCAGCCGTATGGTCGGAAAGTGCCACACACTTTGCAAGATGCACAGCAGAGCGAGCTCAAAGTGAAAAGAACTGTGCTGCACATAGTCATTGTGGCACTGTGACCATGACTTAACCCATCACCGGCTAGCGTGCTGAAATCTAGCTATTGTCAGTGGTCCAGCCTATACAAATGCTCAGAACGTCCCGGAGTGCCATGCTCCGATGCGCGCATGCCACAATAGCGCATACTGTCCCTGCCACCTCCATGTCGATGTACCACAAGTCGGATCTACCTCTGCCAGGTTGAAAAATCATACATTCCGAGCCGAGAACTTTCGGGCCGAGCCTGAGCTGGCGTCGCTGCCGCCGAAGACATAGCTGCGTCCACTTGGAGTGAGGACTCCGGACAAGTCGAAGCGCCCTGGGATGTTGCCTGCCGTGGAAACCTCATTCCACAGCGGGGCGTTGGCCTGACAGAGCACGTGCAGAAGATGGAACCGAATCGCTGGGACAAAGCAGAGGTCGTTGGAAACACAGACTGTGACATTTTTTCAAAGACATGAACCAAAACTACAGTACTACGATGAGCTGTCACATGCTGCGCTCAGTGTGGACTGAGGCTGCAACAAGCACTTCGAGCACGATGCCATGCCTGGTTGCGTTCGTCACAAAATTACATGCTGCGTTGGGGATGTGTATGTATAGATCTAAGAGGCCAATGCCCCATAAGTTGCTGGTAGGAACTGGCTCCATCAAGGCTCCTGCTACATGCAGAAAAACTTCCGAATAGAACAACTTCTTCAGCTCAGGATCGCCGGTAAACGATTGAGAACTGCCTTCCTCGGGGCCTACGGTCCATCATCTCCATTTCATCAACCTCTTCATTAGCCCCTCCCAGATCAAACCGGAGGACCACCATCACAATGTTCCAACCTACCAACACAAAGAGCGTTTACTCTGAAAACAAGCTTAGCTTGTGTAGTGACGGGTAGTGATTTACTGATGCAAACTTGGTGGCAGTCTTCACACCACGAAACCCCAAAACCTTAAACTCAAACCCCCTCAGACCCCCAAATCCCCCAAACCTCTCAACCCCAGGCTCTCCGAGCTCCGCGCAAGACCGCGAAACCGCGACAGGTGAAGCTGCGCAGCACCATGCTCGCGGTGGAAGTCAAGGAAGCATCGTGCTGTTGGTGTGAAAGCCTCTGTGTAAGCTGAAAGGTTTTGAAGGAAGCATGGACTAAGAACCCTAAACCCTGAACCCTGAACCCTGAACCCTAAACCCTAAACCCTAAACCTTGTTCAACCCTAAACCCTAAACCCTAAACCCTAAACCCTGAACCCTGAACCCTGAACCCTAAACCCTAAACCCTAAACCCTATTAATTTGCACTATATGGCATGACCAGCCTCTACGGAGTTGCAACGGAAGTCGAAGGTGGCTGCGGGGGAAAAGCGTCATCCGTCGGTCTGCTGTGGATGTGCTGCTTATGTAAGCTGCGCTGGCTCCGCTGTAGAGGGTCTGTGGATTGTAACTGTTGAATAAGGTTTAGGGTTTAGGGTTCAGAGTTTAGGGTTTAGGGTTTATGCCACTACTGTTCATCTACCTATCTTCTGGCACTAGCGCCTCAGGCAACACATGTATCGGACGGCCCATCACCCGCACATGAAACGCCTGGGCCCGACAAGTAGAATATTTCATCTCTGCGGCCAAATCATGGAACCAAGGAGGGGCCCATAGGGGCCCCCTTACTATACAGTTACTATACTAACTATACTTAAGGGACTTATCCGCCGACCCCCGTGGCAGCGGGGCGGCGTCAGTGAAGACCCATAGTGTTTTCTTCACTTCTTACCGTCTCCCCTCACCCATCGTGTCCTCTTCACCCTGACCGTCTCCCCTCACCCTCAAGCCCGATCCAACCTCCCTCCAACCCTTTCCTGCCCATTTTCACTGCCCCAAACCGCACCCACCCTACCCCCTGCCCTCCCCCCCTCCCCGCTTACCCCACCCCCCCTTACCCCGACCCACCCTACCCCCCTACCCTCACCCCCCGACCCCCTGCCGGGGCTGCCCACGGGGCGCGTCATGCGCATCGTCGAGGCTTCGTTTCTTCTTAAGAATGCGGGGGGCGAGCATCAGCAGCATCAGCGGCTCCTGGGGGGAAGGGGAGGGAGGGCATAGGGCGGCAGGATTTCGAAGGACACCGCCATAACATGGCGCTCGACGTGCCACCCCCGCATACGCCTGCGTGCCCGCGCGCACGCGCGCGCGCGCGTGTGAAAAACACCAGTTCCCGCCCGCGCGCGCGCGCGCGCGCGCGCCCGGTCTTGTTCTTGTTCTTGTTCTTGTTCTTGTTCTTGTTCTTGTTCTTGTTCTTGTTCTTGTTCTTGTTCTTGTTCTTGTTCTTGTTCTTGTTCTTGTTCTTGTTCTTGTTCTTGTTCTTGTTCTTGTTCTTGTTCTTGTTCTGGTTCTGGTTCTGGTTCTGGTTCTTGTTCTTGTTCTTGTTCTTGTTCTTGTTGTTGTTGTTGTTGTTGTTGTTGTTGTTGTTGTTGTTGTTGTTGTTGTTGTTGTTGTTGTTGTTGTTGTTGTTGTTGTGTTGTGTTGGTTGTTGTTGTTGTTGTTGTTGTTGTTGTTGTTGTTGTTGTTGTTGTTGTTGTTGTTGTTGTTGCTGTTGTTGTTGCTGTTGTTGTTGTTGTGGTTGTGGTGTGGTTGTGGTTGTCGTCGATGTCGTTGTCGTGGTCAGTTGTGTTGTCGTTGTCGTTGTCGGTGTCGTTGTCGTTGTCGTTGTCGTTGTTGTCGTTGTTGTTGTTGTTGTGTTGTTGTTGTTGTTTGTTGTTGTGTTGTGTTGCTGTTGCTGTTGTTGTGGTTGTTGTCGTGGCTGCTCCGGCCGGGGCGTGCCCGGCTTGTGGGCGACACCCCTTTAGATAGCTTAATTTAGGAACCTTATAACCCAAATGAGATAACCAAAAAGAAGCGTCAGATCCCAACAACTGAATCTCATGGCCTATTTGTTCGTGGAATGTGCAACGCTTTGGCTGGGTATAGTACAAGATCATTCGGTAGAAACTTCTCAAGGGCCCTAGATTCCATAGAATCAAATCCAAATTTCTTGAGGTTCCTAATCCCACTCAAATATCCAATTTCTTAAACTTCCTAATTCCATTCAATTTTCCTTAAGGTTCCTAAGTCTCCTCAAAACAATCTCCAGCTTCTTAGTTCTCCTACGCATAACATTTCTAATTCTAATATCCCAATTTTCCTTTTAAATCTCTCTTGAAATCTTCCCTTCTGAAGACTCGAAACTCCAAAAAAAAACATCTATTGTTTAGGGTTTAGGGTTTAGGGGTTTAGGGGTTAGAGTGTAGGGTGTAGGGCTTTTTTGTAAGTTTCTTTGATGCTTCGGGCTTGGGCTTCCAACAATTTAGGATAATGATTGGGATGAGCCGTGTTGTCCTATCGTCCTCCCAATATTTCGTCTTATTGAAATATTGCACTTTCGTCGCAGGCATCCATGTTTATAGTCGAACCCAGAAGATACAATTTGAATGCACTGGGGGGGGGGGGAGTCCCGACAAACAAATCGTATCATACAGCGGCTGCACTCCAGCTGCAACTGCTCTAACTTCAGGATTCGACCGTATAACATCAAATTGAACCAATATGTGTCCTATTCCATGGCTGTTAGGGTGTGATGATGCTGAGATAATGAGAACTCAAGTACTCAAATCCCATTGTAATAGCGATTGTCCTTGCGCCTTGTTGATTGGAGTGGCCCAAGCCAATGTCTTGATCGGCAGTACGCCGCGAGGCTTCAGAGTTCGGGACAAGAACATACACTTGCCTTTGCCAACGCCCACGCGTACGGCACTGCAGCAACTTCTTGCTAGCTGCTAGTCTGGCTTGCCGATGGATGCCCATGGCTCACAGATACAGGATGCAGGCCTTGAGCCCCTGATCCGTGGGCTACCCAGGTCAGCGGGTTGCGCTCCAGGAGAGTCGGCTCAGCGTGCTCACGTCAGCGCCAACGCGCCAACGTCCACGAACCTTGCAAACTCCATCGCCAACCCTGCGAAAGCATCAAACCCAAAACCCGACACTTCCTGCGAGCCCGACAAATCCAAACCCCTCGCGCCAGACACATAGAGCGGAATGGTCCACCTACCCATCGGTGCGTGAGCGCAGCAGATGCTTGCATGTCTGCCCTGGCACATGACATCCCATGACATCGCATGACTCCACAGCCTACTCGCCATACAGCTTCCTGTCAGTGTTGGGGGCAAAGGTCAACTCCGACCTCAGCATGCAAAAACACAAGATGGCATGCGGCTTTCGTCTTTGCGCTTGTCTTGTTCTCTTGGGCACGTCCGTGGTGAGGCATTGGCTCGCTAACCACACCAAGCCGGGCCTGGCGGGTGCAAGAAAGCAGCATACAGCAGCGCGCCAAAAAAATCAGGTGGGGTTACGATATTAGGGGTACCTTTTCTTTGGGGTCCTTACTATAAGGGGGTCCTACCATTTGGGGTCTTGTTTAGGAGTCCCTTACTATCGTAAACCCCCAGGGTGTCTTTGAAGGACCACAGAAAGACGCCAAGACTCCCCAACCCGCGCATTGCACACTCGAAGTTCAAAGGAAGGTCGGAGCGACGATACAGTGTCGTACTTGACCAAGGTTTTTTTTGGGCACAGGGGCATATTGAAAGGTGAGGGGTGCAGGTGGATGCACCATGAGGACTTTGTGGTGGAGCATCTTCGAACTCACATGAGAGGTGTCTGGCCTGCACGAGCTATTTTTTGTCCCGGAGACGTAGGAGTTCAACTTGATTTTTTCTGAAGTTCTTGGTAATGCAACCCTAAACCCTAAACCATCCTAAACCCTCAACCCTACACGGTACACTCTCCACCCTACACCCTAAACCCTAAACCCTAAACCCATCTCTTGCGGCCTGCAGCCGCTTGATGGTGTTGCCCATGTTGGTCCCGATGCTGCTGGCCCACATCCTAACCTCAGCGATTCACTCGGCGAGAAAACCCTTGGATGGAAACGATGTGACAATGATGTAGGATCCATCTCCCCTAAACCCTGAACCCTGAACCCTAAACCCTAAACATCCCTAAACCCTAAACCCTAAAACCCTTAACGCTAGATCCTATTCTGAGTACTGATTGTCGGCTTGGCCAAGAAACTGCATCTTGTTCAGGCTCCCCTGAGGCTTTTAAGAGATCCTGGCAGCAGAGCAGCAGATGTCAGCCAAACACACCAGGAACGCGATCTGAAGTGAGAACGATGATACAGGGATGCAAATATGCACGTCCCTCCTCTTGGTACTCCGGATTCAGTTGACACCTTGCAAGCTTGCAAGCTGTGGAATGTTGACTGGCTTTGCACTCTCTCCCGACTTTTGGGAGCACGTTGTGGAAGGCTGGGCTGGGTGCGGCACCACTTGAAAAACCAGGCAGCCACGTACATGGGACCCGCGTAGCCGGAACCAAACGGGTTGTTTCCTCAGGGTCGGGACGCAAGCTTGCGGCATTTTGCGCCATGACTACTGATACCCGTGCTGCCTCCACTCTGCAAGACATGAGAGACCCTCGCAGGCCCTGGCGCTGCATGGCTTCGGGGATGCCCATCTTCTGCATCTGCTTCCAGCCCGCGACCAAAGCCTGCGAGGGTGAGATTTGTGAGATGCCTGCGGTCTGAGCTTCTGCTGCTTCAATGGCACAGTCGTGCCCCAAGCGTCTTAGAATGTCTTAGAAACAGCTCCACAAACACAAGTCTTCTGTGACGCGTGATCGTGAAACAATCCGCGTTTGGCTGCCGCTTGTCTTGCTAATGAACGAATGCCCAGCGTGCAACCCAATTCGCGCAAGGCACGCAACACCCACGAAAGGCACCCCACACAAGGGCAATTCGCATGCAAACGCCTCTGCGACATCACGCTGCTTAACATATGCGAACCCCAGCGCAGTGTGCTCTCAGGGTGTAACCTCCAGCCATCACAAACTAAATCCTTCCCCGGCCCTCGGTAACCATAGTATCCAGTAAGCATAGGGATGCAACTTTCAACATCAAGTGTTCAACACAAGCGAATTCGTGGCATTTGGTGGCCCTGCGGAAGACCTTGGCTTCCTGTGTCCTCCACAGGAGGAGAGTCAGAGATGTATAATCCTAGCGCAATGCGCACCGGCTGTGAAGGCTTTTGCCAGGTGCGTGCGGCCGAACAAGAATTGAAGAGTCTGGGAAAGCTCTTCATGTTGAACATTGTTGAACCATAGCGGGCGACCGATGAGTCAATGCCGAAGACTGCCAAAATCTGGAAAAGACCCCGATGTCATTGGAACAACCCAGAAAAATTCCGCCCGAAGTGAATCGAAACGAAGCAGGAATTCAAGCCGCAAACACGAGCAAGAAATGTCAAGGGACTGGAAGTCGCAGGCAGCCGGCTACGACGCAACGACATCTTGCCACACGGACATGAGGCGCAAAACCAAGTGTAGTGTACACATATCCCTTCTCCTGCTGAGTGTAGTGTACACATATCCCTTCTCCTGTTGTGCTTCTCCAAGGAAAGGGAAGTACCACGCTTAAGGATGCTTTTTTGTGAGTCAAAGCTTTGGTAGTCGTATCCAGACTCCAATGTATACTTAGCGGGCAGGGATGCGTTGCGGAGCATTGCCAGAGTTCAGGGTAAATCCCCAACGAGTGCGAGGGCAACGAGCTGGCAATTCGAAAGCGGTAAGATAGACAAGCCAGCCGGGCACAAGACGGCACATGCATGAATCATCGGAACCTTTGCAGAAACTTTGTTGCCGAAGCCAAGCGGACGTGAAACGATGAGCAAGCAGAGTCGAGATGCAGCCGAAGGGGAGGTGGTGCGGAGGTGTCCCTGACATGGATTGCGTCAGAGAAGTACAGAGTATCGGTTCCCACCGTGGAAGGCTGCCAAGGTGCGCCAAAATCACCGTGCTGTTTGGGTCTTTGAATGGACTTTTGGAGAGCCGTGCAACAGCTCGCCTTGCAAGCCAACCCTGAACCCCAAACCCCGAAAACGATGAGCCTCAGTCTGGGGAGGCCTACTTGAAACCAGGGTTCCCACTGAAAGCTTAGGATGCACCCCCCGAGATTCTAATAGGGGGTACGATCATCCCGATTAAGGAGGGGGAACATCCCAACTGAAAGCCCAGACAGAGAAACCCTAAACCCTAAACCCTAACCCCTAAACCCTAAACCTCAAACGGCCTCGTAGTCGAACTGCTCCTCCTCGGCCACCCTCCCGCGCGCGCTTCCGAACTGGGCTCCGTCCAGGAGCGGCTCGGCGCCGTACCTCGAGTCCCCGCAACACTGCCTTGATTGCAAAGCAGGGTTTAGGGTTTAGGGTTTAGGGTTTAGGGTTTAGGGTTTAGGGTTTAGGGTTTAGGGTTTAGGGTTTAGGGTTTAGGGTTTAGGGTTTAGGGTTTAGGGTTTAGGGCAACACTGCCTTGATTGCAAAGCAGGGGGCATGTTCAAAGCGGGATGCCGGAGGGGAATTCAGCAAACAAACTCGAAAGAGGAAATCCCAGAAAACATCGGGAAAGATCAGACCATATCAGAGCACATGTTCAACAACCAACACTCAACATCAGAAGCGTAATAAGAAGTAGGACGTATGGAGAAAATACACAAGTCAAAAGTGCATGCTCCTAGAGCCCACAAGGTCCCCGAAAACCCTACCACTCACTCCATTCCACTCGGCTGAAGTTTTCGGATTTTTCTGCCTTTCTGAACTGGCATTCCTTTTTGTCTGAACCACTGCTTTTGATTTCGAGCTTCACTCCATCACGACGAGAAGCGGGTATAAGAATTCACGTCGCGCAGACAGCGCAATGCGCCGTCTGATTGTGTTGGCCCGGTGTTTGCTGTCGTTGTCGTACTCAAAGGCTTGCATCGGCCGAGCTTGCCAAAAGCTATGGGCCGAGTTTTAACCGGGTTGAAGCTTAGAAAGATAACCTGCCTTGGAGGTTTGCGGGAGTGTCAGCACTGATTGAACGGCCGATCCCAAAATGGATCCTGATCCTTGCGATCCCAGTCCAAAGGTCGCATCATGTTGACGTCCAGGAGATTGAAGGAGTGGATGGCACGTCTGCCCGAGATCTTGGGGACCTTGCAGTGCAGCTTTTCTCAGGGGCTCAAGTCAGCTTGGATTTTGGAGGCCCGCAGCTATCCATCGTCCCGAACTTCTGGCACAAGGCACTACAAACGTCCGCCTCATCGTTGAGGTGGAACCCCGTGGCCTGGAACAGAGTCGTCCGGATTGCAAGAGACAGCTTGTGGTTTGCTTCAAGAGAACTCTTGCAAGTGGCATAGAGTGGCTATCTGCGGCAGCCTTGATGATGATGTCACAGTCCACTTTGGAACCGTCCTAGCGAAGCTTTGGGTGGGTTGCTCCAGGTCCAACATGCAACATTCTTCAACATTCACCACGTGGAGAAACACGGTGAAACCCTCAGTGCGCCTGTCATTGTGTGCTGGCTTCGGCTTGCTCTTCATTTGCGTGTAATCGCAAGTTGGCAAACGTGAGCACGGGAAGCTTCTGAAGCGACGTTGTGTCATTTTGACCCTGGACGGACGTCCACTGCAGCGTGGTGGAGGTGCGGCAGCTTCTGCATGTGTGTGTGTGTGTGTGTGTGTGTGTTGTGCTTCGGCTTTGGTCGTTTGAGTTGTTGCGAGTTGTGTTGGCCACTGATGGCCGGCAGGCAGGTTAGAGTTGGAGTCTTAGAATTAAACCCTAAACCCTAAACCCTAAACCCTAAACCCTAAACCCTAAAACCCTACACCCTAAGGCCCAAGAAACAGCAAGGCTGTGGAAGCGCACCGCAGGGATTGAGGGGGCTAGCAGAAGCCCCAGGATGACGCTTCTGGGCTACAGGGCCACCCTTTGGGGGCAACGCCAGGTACACTAGGTCGGCTGGTGACCTCGTTGCTGTTTTAAGTGATGCGTTTCTCTGTGCAGTGGAGTTGGGTTTTTGTGGTTTGGTTCCAGGTCTTAGGGCTTGTGGGCGGCTTTCTTTTCTTGCGGATGGCCATTTTGGTTTGCTAGTGTTGGGGTGGTCAGACTTCTTTCCCGTGTTGAGAACACTGTTGATGTCGTGTTGTTTTCCCCCGTCGTTTGATGCTTGCTGTTTGTCCTTTGTAGGCTTTGACATTGCTTTGACCTTCTTCGGCCCCCCTTTCAGCCTGTCAGGTTATCTCGCGAGAGCGTAGCTTGGGTCAAACACTGGACTGGCACTGCGAGGATCCATGCCGGTCCTTCAGCACTACGCCATGACCATCTGGCCGATAAGCAGCTATCTCGCCGACCCTCTGCATGCGCGACATGGATGCAACACAGAGCCCTAAAGCACCGCATGACAGCACCGAGAGCAAATGGATGCAACAATGTCGCGTGCAAACGCCGCCTCAAGGTCGCAAGACCGTGGTAGCCCGCAATGAACGCAAGGTCAGATACCTCTACATGTCTCAGAGCAATTAAAGAGAGACAGCGAGACAGAAAGAGAGAGAGAGAGAGAGCGAGAGAGAGAGAGAGAGCTTGAGAGAGCATCTGAGAGAGACTTGGCCGGCGCACGGAGACCGTGTGGTTGTGGGGCTTCAGCAACCCCTCGGCCCAGCCTGGGCTCAAAGCAAAGTTCCCATTACCCCACGCGTCATCAAGAAAGGGAACTCCCAGCCCCAGAGCCCGCGCAGTGCGAAGCATTTCTCCCCGGGATCCAGGCATTCCGGCTGAGGCAGGCCTGCGTCCTGGAGCTGCAAGAAACTTGGGGCAACTTCTGGTATGCTGCAAGCCTGACCGAACATTCCATTCTAGCATGCCAGCCGCCACATTCTCACGACAGTCCAGGTAGCACTGCTTCCAGGCATCGAAGCTGATGACATTGCCGTTCCTGTCCGTGTTGTAGTACCTCGGTTTGGATGGTATTGGATGAAAGCTACCACAGATCTCACCATGAAGTTTGCACCAAGGCCACCACTGGTCACAGGGGCGCATAAAGGCGATCACGTCGATCCTGGCAAGGGTTCGAAGAGGGGCCCGGACACCAGACGGATGATCCACATCAGCGCCACAGATGAAGCAAGATCCAGCAAGACGCGACTGCACAACCACTTTGGGCACGTCGTTCCGGACCGCCGTCCAAGCATAGTGACCTACCGGCTGCAGTGCAGGTTCAAGATTAGTCAGGTCCTACGACTGACTGAACGAGAGAGAGAGAGAGAGAGAGAGAGAGAGAGAGAGAGAGGGAGAGGGAGAGGGAGAGGGAGAGGGAGAGGGAGAGAGAGAGAGAGAGAGTGAGAGGATTGGGAAGATCAGATCAACCGAAGATCTACGCAGTTGGGTGCTCAGGCCGACTAATTACCAAGGGGTGCACCACGCAAAACCTCAAGGAACGCAGGCTCGGAGCCGGACGTGCTTTGCGCCGTGCTCTAAGGCCGTGCGTAGGTTTTCATACCTGATTCTTCGCTAGGTGCCACTTAGGGGGGGCTCACGGCCATGGCACCAACTATGTGCTGGTATGACTTAGTCATGAGTATGACATTGTCAAGGTTGCGATTGTGTGTGCTACGTGACTGAACAAACAGAAAGCACCGCCTCCGGATACTAACTACAACTGCAATGCCCATCATCATGAACCTCCAAACCCGGCATGATCTGTTGCCGCTGCTGGCGCACGCGAAGGCTCCTGCTCCAATAACCAGGACCTGACTGAGCAATCGTTTGCGAGCTTCCCAAAACCAGAGGCCGCAACCAGAGTCTCCGAAAGTTCCCGGCTGTCTTGCCCCAGAACTTCAGAGGTGTCACCTGTGCTTTTGCGGTGTGAGGGGGACGAGGTGGAGAGGAAGTGGGGAAGGGGAAGGGGTAAAGACGGAACAGGGCGAAAAGATGGAAAAAGGCAAAAGGGCAAAAGGGAAGGGGAAAACTATACTTGTGGGGACGACGCCCTGGTGTCGACTAACGAAAGTTCCCAAAGCCATTGCAGAGGCGGCTAAGGTTTCTTCACGTTTTTTGCCTTCACTGCGGTTCCTGACCCCAGAGCAGAGGTGAAATATCCAGTGTTCATAAGATTCCCGATTCCCGTAATTTCCCATAGCATACCATGCCCCCGACAGACATCCGGCAGCCTGAGGCTGAACCTTACCACTACCCTGCACCGCCATGTCGCGCCGCCTCGTTCGCGTAGCCATAAACGCCTGGGCGGAGGGCGGGGGAGTGCTGTTGTTCCAGGTGTGCTTTTGACTCTTGCCGTGTGCGATCGACTGCAGGCCAGGCTATACATGCCAGACATGGAGGTTGTTGCAAAGCATATTCATATATATATATATATATATTATCTATATTATATATTATATATATATATTATATATATTATATATATTATATATATTATATATATTATATATATTATATATATTATATATTATATATATTATATTATATATATATATATTATATTATATATATATATATATATATTGTGGATATGAAGGGCATGGGAAGCTGTGTGGGGAGAGAGCGTAGCGCCTAAAGGGTATGCTGCGTTTGAAGACCCGAGAACGCCAATGCGACTTGCTGGTTCAAGGGAAGGCTACGATGTCATGATAAACCCTTGGCCAGCACCTTTTATGGAAGTGTACAGTCTTGTAACGTCACACGAGATGACGTAAGCAGAATAGTAACTTGACATGTCTCTTGTGCTTTGAGCGGAAGAAAGGGGATCTTTCGTCTTTGCGAGCAGCGCATGGATGTCAATGCCAGCAACCCTTGAGGCAAACCTGGAACAACAGGTTATGAGCGCCCAAGGCTCAGCTGCGCACCACTCCGCTGTGTTGGTGAATGGCACCACGGGTACCAATGGGTACGGTGCGACGAATTCGAGCCCGATCCCGCCTCCTCCTCGTGATGATGAACAACAAGTTGAAGCTTCGGGATCGGGGAGGGCAAGTGGACAAGGACTCAGTGCAAGTGCTGGTGAAGTGGATGCAGGATGGGATGCAGCGGCGAGCCCAGAGGTAGAAGCTGCGGGTGGACAGACGGGGCCAATGAACCGCCCGGTGGACCACGACGTTGCCTACACGGAAGCTGCTGTGTTTCAAGGAGCAGAATACTTCACACCGAGATCGCGGACCTCTATGGCACCTTGGGGACCTTTTCCCCAAATGGAAACGCTGCCGTCGGGGTGGTCGTGGATTTCTAGGGTGGGAGCGCGGATTGTGGGGGCTATTGGCTCCATGAGCTGGTGCCCAGTCCTTTGGCCTCACCACCTCGTCAAGTTGGTGGATCGTCTACGTTGACCCCGCAGGGACCAAGGCCCAGGGGCCAGAATCTGACACCGCCATCATCAAGTGGGCTGTCTGTGGAGGCGGTGCAAGCTGAGGTACAACGTCAGGTGGGCCCTTAGATGGGTGAGCAGAGGAATAGCCTTCTTGAAGGACAGCTGAAGCAACAAATGACAGCAGGCATGGCAACCACCAAGACCCTTCGAAGCCCTACGGAGCAACCGGCTACAACAGCGTCCTCATCGTGGTCGGCAGCGCTGGGTCTTCCTCGCCATGAAGTGCCTCTACCTCCAAGTCTACCTCGTAAAGAACCCCTAGGATGGACTGGGATGCATGGAGGTCCTCTTGCAGATGAACATGGTTTTCCTGAACCACGAGGGCATTCGCATCAAGAACCTACGCAGGATGGGGGGGTAAGACAAAGTTTGGCTTCAGTGGCTGAGGACTCGGCAGGAAACGTTGGCCCGCTCTGCAAGGACCGGGATGCCTCGGAGACAGGTCGGGGGAACATGGCTTCGGGTGGAGAAGGTTCCAGTGCACATCGGGGCCGCTCGCGTGAAGGCCTGGGAAGCTTCGAGGGTGTCTATGGGAACGCCGGAGCAGAACCAACTGGAAGCCAGGGCATCTTGGGATCTTTGTTTTCAAGGAACAAAGGAAGGTCCCCATCGCCGCCCCCTGATCAAGGAGGACTTACGTCGGCACCGATGATCGAAGCAATTGCCCGTGGAGTACGTCAGCTTCAGGAGCTTCAAGAGCGCAATCTTCAAGGAGCACGTGGAGGGGATTCTCCGGGAGGAACGGAGACCGTGAAGCCGGGGCTCCAAGCTCTGCTGACGTTAACGGTCCCGGGAACGAAGGATGCACCGCTGGTTTTTCAGGACTGGATCGAGGTGATCTCCACCGGCATGAAGGACTTGAGCGAGAATAGCGGGGCATGGTGGGAGGCCGTCCTTCGAACGGTCGAGGGCTCGTACTCCAAGTGGCTTGGGGCTACGCAGTTGGAGCGGCTGACGATTCAGCCAGAGGATGCCGACTACGCAGTGAAAGGGAGGTGGACGCGGGTGAATGCACGCGCGTGCCAGCTGCTGCTCAACGCTGTCCCGGAGGTGGTTCGCTCGGACTTGATCGCGAGGAGGGCAACGCAGGACGTAACTCAGCTGGTGTTCCGGTTGTTCGTGCTGTACCAGCCGGGGGGGTCTTCCGAAAGGGGACACACTTTGGCGCAACTCCAATCTCCACCTCACGGGACGAATGTCGCGGAGACTCTGGAAATCCTGCGTGGATGGCCTCGACATCTACGACGGTGCCAACAGCTTGGAATGAGTGCTCCAGACCCAACAGTCCTGGCGAAAGGGTTGGACACGGCTACGGCGAAGGTCATCACTGGAAACCCGGATGCTCATTTCAGGACGCAGCTGCTACGCACTTCTTTGCGTTTGGACGCGAAGCCCACCCTACGCCAGGTGGAGGATTACCAACGGCGCCTGCAGGCGGAGGTGGAACAGATGGCAGCGGCTGGCGGGATGGATACCAACCCGAAGATTAGGGCTACGTCTACGCCGTCCATGCCTCATCCAGGAACTACAATGACGTCGTCGCCGCCCACCTCGCCGACTGGAAAGGACACCAATGAAGCCTTGTGTAGGTACTTCAGCAAACCCTCGGGCTGTAGAAGGGGAGAAAAGTGCCCGTACAAGCATGATATGGCCAGCTTCCCCAAAGATCAACGCATGAAGAAGTGCCTGGCGTGTGGGGCTGAGGGTCATCGAGCTCGAGAGTGCCCAACGAAAGGTGGAGGAAAGCGAAGTCATGCAAAGCGTGAAGAAGGAGCTGAGCGGATGCAAATTCCACAGACCACGCCAAAGGTCGCCGAGATACAGGCCACGTCTGCTGAAGCAATACCTTCGTCCTCATCCAGCACGATCATATCATCAAGTGGGTCGTCAATCCCACCTTCGGCGGCTACGATTGGCAGCGCAGAAGGGGTGGCGACTACCCCTGGAGAGCCTGTGTGGACCCTGGATAACTTGATGCAGGCCGCCCAGCAGGTTGTGATGGCTAAGAGCGCGGGTGAGAAAGGTGACATCAAGTTGAAGGCGGCGAAGGTCATGGAGTTGGACGCCATTAACGAAAGGAGCGACAGGGCACCTATGGCTTTGGCGGATACCGGCGCTACCCATTCCCTACGCCATCCGCATTCGCAGGAGGAGTGGGATCAAAGCATGTGGGTTAATGTGGTCTTAGCCGGCGGTGAGCAAGTTCAGATGAAGATGAATAATGCCGGCACGCTGCTTTTTGGAGCGGACGGAACTGCCAGGGAGACCACAACGAATGCCATCGTCCCAGTGGGTGAGCTGGTGAAGACCCTGGGGTATCGATTCGAGTGGGGGCCTGCGAGCTGCCATTTGGTGGGCCCAGATGGGACCATTGTGCGGCTTTCGACCAAAGAAGGGTGCCCGCACATCTCGGAGGCCAGGGCTTTGGAGCTCATCTCGAAGATCGAGAAGAAGAAGCTGGACCAGTTCACCGAGAATGTCAAGGGCACAGAGGCCAGGGTTCAGGCGATGGCGAGGACGCTGGATAAGTCGTGGTTCGACTACCTGGGCGAGGCTTGCTATGGGCATTCAGGCCAAGAGGACAAGGCAGTCGCGGCGGCTCCCTTCTTGAAGGACGTCCCTGTGGAGGCACTGTATGGCCTGGCAACGAACGTGGACAATGAGAGTGGATGGCAGATCCTGAAGAAGCTGACATTCCTCAACCGGAGGCAGCGGCGACGCTTGTGGTCATCGAAGAGCTGGGTGGTTCATCTCTTTGCTGGAAAGACGAAGAAGGAGGCATTCAGCTGGTTGAACGATGGCGACAGGGTC